TGGGGGCGGGGGGGTGGATGGCCCCCCTGCCGATGCAGGGGACACGGGTTCGTGCCCCGGTCCAGGAAGATCCCATGTGCCGCGGAGCCGCTAGGCCCGTGAGCCATGGCCGCTGAGCCTGCGCGTCCGGAGCCTGTGCTCCGGGAGAGGCCACAGCAGTGAGAGCCCCGCGTACCGAAAAAAAAAAAAAAACAAAACTGTATACGTACGTGTCACCAACAGCAAACAAAACAAACAGTAGACCATCCCTGGCCCCTGAGATGGCATTCTGTTCCTAAGGCTAATTTAGTGCGGCTTTTTGCCTCATTTGGGGTCTTTAGTACATGCAAGTACTGCTGTGTCTGGCTTCCTGGCGTAAAACTCAGAAACTCATAAAAAACTTAATTTCCGCTATTAACTACTTTACTCAGCAGGATAAATGATAAGCACCAAAAAAAAAAAAAAAAAAAGAAGAGGAGGAGAAACTCAGAAGAACAATTCATTCATTTACTAACTGCTCTTAAGCTTGACAGATAAGTATCAGAGTTTGGCTTTTGGGGAAAACTTTTCCAATGGCATTCACTGTGGGCAGCAGCTCTGTCTCCTTCGTGGACTCAGGGATGAGCTGGGGCCAACTCTGTGCCGGGGTCTGGAACGGCCGTGAGGGGGGTGAGGCACCGCTGCCGGCCGTTCAGAGGTCATAACCCGTGATCGTGCACACATAGCCTTTACAACCTACATATGACCACTCCCCCTTTGCTCGTTTCCGCCTAGAGAGCACCGTCAGGCTGAGATGCTAACAGACGGGGTTTGGATGTGACCACACTGCATTATGGTTTTAACTGACGGCTTTAACACGTGCGTGTGCCCCCAGGCAATCTAATCACCAAATGGACTGGATATGATACTCCCTCTCCGGTGGCACTGGAGGTGCCCTTTTGAGCATTAGGTGTCACTTTAAGACGACTTCTGGCCTCTCCGGGTCACTGCTGCCTACCCGATTCAGAAGATAAACGGCACGTCAAACATCCAAAGTAATTCACTGAAGGAGATTCCTGAGCTCCTGCTTTTTACGTACTTACTCATTTATTCATCATCCGGAAAACATTTATCAAGCTTTCCCTTTTTCCCAGGTGGTGTGCGAGTGCTGAGGACTGAAAGAGGGACAGGCACAGCTGTTCCCCTTAAGGGACAAGGCTCTAGAAGTCGTTAGGCCAGAGGGCAGGGACTGAGTGACCCGGGGATGCAGGGACCGAGCTGTGACAGCAGCAGAGGGCAGAGGTCTTGGGGTGGAGTGGGTGGGAAATTGAAACACTTCCTGGAGGAAGGGACACACGAGCCACATCTTCAAGGAGACAAGAGGAGCCAGCAGGAAAGCCGGAAAAGAAGAAAGAGAAAAGCAGGGGCGCTGGGGGCAGCACCCGCAAAGGCAAGGAGCACGCGGGGCAGAGGGACCGGCTCGACGGAGAACGCGATGCTCAGGAGGGAGCAGGTGTGTGAGTGCACACGGGTGGGCAGGCAGCTTACAGAGGCCCCGAGTGACAGGCTGAAGCGTCTCAACTGCTGGGTCCTTCAGGCAGCACCAGGCGGGAAGAACCCTGCCAGGCAGGCGAGTCCGGCCGGGGGGTGGGGGTGGGGGGGAGAAAATGGGCAGGGGGCGGGCAGGCAGGGGGACGGCGATGTTTTTTTTTTTTTAAGCTATTTTAAAGTCTCTCCCTGCCCCCGCCCCCTCCAAAAAAGTGGATCAAACCCTGATGGCAACAGAACTTCCTAGCACAGTTTTGCATAATTAGTTTAGCTTCCAGTCAGAGATTCAGCGTCTGGCCAAACTTTGCTTGGTGAGGTATTCTTGCTTGGCGTCAGGGGAAGAGCCGGCTGCTGCTGTCGACCACTGCGGGCGGGGGGCCTGGCCAGCCTCGCCCGTGGCCTGCTGGGGTTGCTTAACAGGAGCTGCTCCGGAGGACACCGGAGCCCAGCCTTCCAGAAGTCCTTGGACCACGCAAGGGCCCTCTGACCTTCGGACCCTGCTTCTAACGACACGACCCCCGTCACCCAGGCCTGACCGAACCCCGTCGACTACACCAATGCGCCCTTTGGTTTCTCCTGCGGGACGCTGATGCCGCCCGGTCCTTTCTTTGGCTTTTTTTTTTGTGTGCGGTACGCTCACTGTCGTGGCCTCTCCCGTTGCGGAGCACAGGCTCCGGACGCGCAGGCTCAGCGGCCACGGCTCACGGGCCCAGCCGCTCCGCGGCACGTGGGATCCTCCCGGACCGGGGCACGAACCCGCGTCCCCCGCATCGGCAGGCGGACCCTCAACCACTGCGCCACCAGGGAAGCCCCGCCCAGTCCTTTGAACCGGGGTCACAGTCCTGCCGTGCTGGCTTCAGGGAAGGGTCGTAGGTCCCGTCCCCTCTCACAGAAGGGCCTCGCCATGTCCTCTGCTTTCCTGTGTGTTTCTGGAAGTCTGGTAGTCACAGTTCAACAATACCTCCTAAGACACACTGGAGGAAATGACAGTAAATAAACAAGCAGTAAACAGCGCTCTGAGTGACAGAGCCGGAGGAGTGACAATCCCGGAGCGAACCGGCGCTCGGAACACAGCCATCGGGACATGACTGGTAGCCCTGCAGCCGGGATCCCAGCCCAGCTGCTCACCTGCTGTGTGATCCTGAGCAGGTGAGCCTCTCCGGGCCTAATTTCACCTTCAGGGTGCCATGAAGACCAAGAGAAGTAAAGCGTGTAAACCACTGCAAGCGGCCGGTGGGCAGAAGTGCCATCACTGGCACCGCCCAGCAGGAAGGGCCGGTCAGCAGGGACCCAGGGCACCTGAAAACACGTCCGTCTCTGCAGCCGGATGCTCCTCCTTTTGCACGAATTCACACAGCACTGGCATTTCCGGAGCACACTCACTGCGCAGCAACGCAAAGCCTGCTCCTCCTAGGGAGGCGTCGGGACTTCACAGGGGGCATTTCTGAAGCACACGTTTGTTTTCATCTTCTGGGTGAACAAAAGAAATTACAGACGCACCGACACGCCCTGCCTAGTAGGGGTGGCGTTCTGTGCGAGGCTGTATCTCACCCTGGCAGGGCCAGTGCACGGAGCTGGAAGGCTGGGGATGTGAATTCACTGAAGATCCTATTACTGGCTCGGTGACGGAGAGCTCTGTGCACCATTAGGGCCTGTCCTCTCGGTTTTCTCCCCACCTCGATTAGCTCTGTTTGGCCAGCCAAACACAGCACCGAGACCCAGATCCGGCACTCAGGACAGCTTGGACTGCTCCCTGGGGAGACCTGTCAGCTCCCCAGTGACCCACAGGACGGCTCTTTTCTCATGTGCTGGTGTGGGAGGGAAGGAATTTATTTCTCCGTAGATCATTTCCACGCACCGGCGGCCTGACGGACTTACTAACATTCCCATCAAAGCAAATCTACTAAGTGTTCCTAAAATCATCCAACATTCTTAACACAGTCAGCAGCAAGAATAAAACTTCAGAGAACAGTGATGTGCGTTACAGTCAGCCCGGTTACATCCCTGACTGCCACCGGAGACGCACCAACTCACACTGACTTGTGAATCGGGTTCTCCCAGTGACCGGGAGCCACAGAGAAGCAATCCCGAGGTCAAGGGCCACCTAACCCACCAGCGGACACCCGGGCACTGGGCCCTGTCCTCTGCTGTGCTTTTCCAATTAAATTCCAAGAGGCTGAAAAGCCAGTCGTGCCAGACTTCCCCAAAGAAGGCTTCCTGTGCGAAATAAAACGAACCCCACCCTGATTTCAAACCCAGTGAAGTTCACTGATCTTTTAAAAGACTGATCGCCACACAGATTGTGGAAGGTGAAGGAGAAACGGTTAAGCAAGCGACTGAAGAGCAATAAAGACTGCATATTCCTCACGCAGCGTCTGAAGGATGAAGCCAAAACCACCGCCTGGGAGCCCAGGCCTGGTCTCACAGGGAAACGTGCCTGGAACCTCAGAGCCCCTCGGTCACTGCCCTGCAAAGGCCTGGGAGTCGTGGCCTCGCCCGGCCCCTGGCCTCCGGGCCCTCGGCAGCCTTTCCAAACTGCTGCCCGGCCAAGGCCCCGGTATCTGCAGAGCTCACATTTCACTTGGCTACACATGAAAGGGAGGCTCAGAAGCCAAGAGGCTGCAGAGAACCCGGCACTGCGGCCAACCTCGCTCTGCAGCTGCCACTCAGGCCTCGGCAAAGAGCTGGGCAGTTTAGGCAATTTGAGGTTTGATAACATTTCGGTAAACAGTGACTATTTTGCTCATGTACAAAAGAGTAACTATGCCAGTGCGCCAGTACTACTCTTCCAATAATTTTTGCTTCTCCATTATATACACAGGTATTTTACAGGGCATTAAAATCCTCATGAGACCAGCACACAAATATTTCTGATTCACTGCTTTCCACTCCATTTCCGTACCATCGACTGTATTCCAA